TATGTTTGTGATATTATTAATGATTACCATAAATATTTTTATATTTGTTTATATACATGATAAAATTCTTACACAACAGATTGAGTATATATAATTGTTATGTAAACGAGTTTTATAAAACAAATACACTACTATAATGAATGTCATTATTACTATAAGTAGGTTGTTATTATGGAGGAGAATCATCAATTGGACAAATTTTCTTTTACTTTTGAAGACTTGCCTACAGAAAATAGTGAATTACTTTCTATCAGGTTCAGGAATTCTACTTTCTATTTATTTTTTTATTTTTCTAAAAGTAGCGCTACATATAACATGAAAAGAAAAATAGTTTTAGAGAATATTAAATTGTTATAACTAATGGTTGTTGGTGACAACGAAGTTTAACTATAATTGACTAACCCTTGGAGTCAGGGGCAGAGCTACAGTGTGTTGAGGGTGTCCAATTGGACACCCTTCGTCGTAAAATTATATTGTACACCTAAATAAAATGTTGTCCAAAATGTTAAATTTAACACTTTGAACACCCTTAACACAATAAGTTATTGTGGCTCAGTGGCCGGAGGCTCTCTCATGGAGCCCAGACGTGCAAGTTCGAATCCATGCAGCCACTCATCTTTATAATCATTTTTAAAGAGCTCATATTTAATTATTCCAAAAATTGTCTAAGGTATTTAAAGGACTTTCTAAATAATAGTTAGTAAATTTCTTAGAAATCTATAAATTAAAAATCTAATAAAGCTAATTGAATTTTCAATGAATTTGATTTTTTATTTATTTTCATCAAAGTTTGAAATAAAACTTAAATGTAATTATTTAATTTAAAGTTAATAAACAAATTCTAATATTTGTACAACGTTGTTAAAAACGAACAAAAGAAGACCTCGTTTGATTCTGCTTCCATTCTTCATGTCTCTATATTGTTGTCGTCACCAAGGACTAGTTTAAGTTTAAAACGTAAAAATGATTTCATTTTAAGTTGAACCCCCCCCCCCCTCCCCTCTCCTTTTTTTTTTTTACTTTGTTCATTTACTTCATATTAAATTAAAAACAAATATTAAAGCTACATATCATACGATTTTATTTTTAAAATTTTGGAACATTTATTCATAAAAAAAAAGGGATAATTTCAGAGACCTCCCCTCAGGTTCGACTACATAACAATAACCTCCCTTGTGGTTTGAGATATTACATTCATCTCCCTTATTGTGATATTTTTGTAACGAAACTATTTTAAATGATATATTCTCCATAATTTCCCGTAACTACCCTTATTGTCCGCATTTTATTAGAAATTTAGGTTCTTAAATATAAACACTTCTCAATTTTATTTCAAACTGAAAGATGATTATAAGGAATAATAAGTGATTACTTGATACTAACATATAATATCAAACTCCCTGGCATGGGTATTTGTTAGCTAGGCCATATCTGCAGATTGCAGCAGTTGAAGTAACAAATTTTACCCTTTAAACTTTAAGTGAACATAGATTTCCAAAATAAAAATTAAAAAATAGAATAACAATCAAACTCTTCAATTTGAGGTGGAGTTTACGTTAATTTTGTGTTTGGAAAAGTTACAATAGCTTATGAACCAATACGAGGACGTGAAATTTATATTTTAATCATTATTTCTTATTAGCAAAAGTTTAAAGGAAAAAAATAATAATGTTTTATGAGGAATGACATTGATTTGCTACACACAAAGATGATTGTTGCTTGAAATTTTCTACCGTTTTAAAAAGGGATAAGGATCTAAAAAATACCCCAACTTTGATCGAATTTGTTGTTGCGATACTAAACTTTCATGAGGACCTATTATCTCCCTAGACTATTTAATACGGTATTAAATAGTCTAGGGAGGTAATAGGTCCTTATGAAAGTTTAGTATCGCAACAGCAAATCCGACCAAAGTTAGGGTATTTTTCAGACCCTTATCCCTTTTAAAAACTTTGAGAGGAGATTTATATTTTAAAAGTAGAATATAATAAAAATAAGAAAAGTTTCAGGATATTATGGATAATTTATCATTTAAACTAGTTTCGTTACAAAAATATCAGAATAAGGGAGGTGAATGTAATATCCTAAACTACAAGGGAGATTCATGTTATTAAGCCAGACCTGAGGGAATATCTCTAAAATTATCCCTAAAAAAATATTAATATTGCGTAGTTCGATTTTGAATTTTTCAGTGCACCCATTCATCAAAAAAAAAATTCTTATATAATTCTTGGACACCCTTCATGAAATTTCAAGCTCCGCCACTGCTTGGAGTTGAGACCATTTGGTCCGATGAATTGTTATAACTGAAATATTGTTATAACGAATTTTTGTTAGTGACAATGAAGTTTAACTGTAATTGACCAACCCTTAAGAGGTAAGACTATTTGATCTTATTTTAGTTTATACATGTTGGAATTAGCTTTATTATGTATTTGGTTGAAGATATTAATTGTAACTGAGATAACTTTATACCACAATTATTGTATTATATATCTCATATAGATAGTTGAACAATCCTGATTGTAATCATGGTTATAGTCTCAAAATATCTCGATTTTAAATGAATCCTCTAGTTTATAAAATAAAAAATAATTATTTTTTTGCAAAATTAAAGAAATCTATCTCGGGTTAGTATCTAAAATTGAAATATATGTTAATCCAAACGTCTTATTGCATCTAATTGAATATTAACCTTTTGAATCATAATTTTACTGAAATAGTATCTTTGTTAGTTTCACTCACCAAGATAAAGCGAATAAGAATAAGTAAAGAAACACGTTAATGACTCGTGATTGTAAAATAATGTAATAAAATATTTTCATAAATATCAATTTTATTTATTCATCGCTCACAAAATAAAATTACTATCAAAATTTAAGGCCCTAAATATTTCTATATATCATTTTACAAATATATTTATAGTTTTATAAAAGTTGAAATAATATCAAAGTTTGTTAAATAACTTCAATATAGAATTTTGCATTATTACCAAACGAAGAATTCTTGGCCAAAGTTTTTCATGTTTGAATTTATTACTTTCGAGTTTTGAGACATAATTAGAAGCTGATTGTAATTATTTGGATAACGAGGCAAGACACTGGAGCAAGAAACTTGTCTAGCTTTTGAGAATTTGACATCAAAACTTACTACTTTCAACTCAAATCATGTTTGTTAAATCAAAATAAACTTAATTGATATTACATATCATGTTCACAAGATAAAAAAGAAGAAGAATATACTCGATGAAAGATGAAGTTATATTCAATTGACAAACAACTTGAAATCGCATATATTTCCAACATCGATGAGGAAGTTATTCATTCAAACATGGATAGTAATAAGATTTTCACCTTTGAATCTCAATGGGCATAATACAAATTTCATAAACAATAAACATATTGAAGTAGTAATACTGAGCTTAATTTGACTGATGAAAAATTAAAATAATAGTATTATATATTTATTTATTGCTAGAGTATATATTAAATTTACCATATCTTATTACCTATAATGTGCTAAAAATAATAAGTTTAATACAAATTATGTCACTAATTTGAAATGGTAGATATTAGGTATTCTTTCAAGCGACAAAGTTATGATTTTTATTAAGGAGTATAAACTTTGAAGAAATAGACACATAATCAGTCGAAGAATTCGACATCTTCTCTCTCTCTCTATATAAATTATTTTAATCATATATAAATATTACTATATAATTTTGAAATAAGTATTAAAAATATACCTAAACTATTCCTTTTTTTCGAGTTTCATATCTGAACTATTGAGAGTGTGAGTTTCATACCTAAACTATCACTTATTAGTTTGAGAAACACACCCCTCTCTTTTATAACACTCTCATTATGGTGTGTGTAATACACTATCTCTTTTATTTAAATTTTTTTTGTCACATTTCCACCTTAACAAAATTAAATAAATTATTAGCATTCGTTAAAATTAAAGATTAAAAAATTATTAATCCCAAAAAAATAATATTTTTTTATAAAATAAAATGTAAAATATTTTTATTACCCCACTCGATCACTTCCTCTCACCGTACCTCCCACCCCCACCCCACCTCGCCCATGATTTTAGTTTTTTTTTGTTTAAATTTCTTTTATAAAAGTATTTAATTTTTATTTACTCCCCCCCACCCCTCTCAAATACTAATTTAGATATTGTTTTTTTTTTAATAAAATAATTCTACCCACTTCACCTAATCTTCCGCTTCCAATTTTTTTTCTCGTTTTATATATATATCGAAAATATTTTTTACTTGCCGCCACATGACTTTTTTTATAATAAATTTTTTATTTATGTTATATTCGGTACACAAGTAGAAAAAATTCCTAAAAATCTAACATAAATGTAAAATAAATAAATAAACTATGAGCGGAGGGTTAAATAAGATGGGGTTAAAATAAAATAATATCAATTTTTTTGGGGAATGAGTGGGTGGTTTTTTTTCTGGGGGGGGGGGGGGTGGAGGGTGAAGTATGAATTTTTAAAAATATTTTATAAAAGATTTTTTTTTAAGAAAATAAAAGGATGGGGTATTGTCCGAGGGGGGAGGTACGGGAGGAGGTGGTGGAGTGGAGTAAAAATAATTTAAATTTTTATTTTTAAAAAAATTATTTTCTTGGGATAAACTTTAATATTTAAATGTCATGTGTCAAGATTTTTTCAAATAAAAAAGAGTGCATTACACACATGACACACTACTAAAGTGTGTTTCTCAAACTAATAAGTGATAGTTTAGATATAAAATTTATTCTCTCAATAGTTCAGATATGAAACTAAAAAAATAAAATAATATAGGTGTGTTTTTACACTCATCTGTCAAAAAATTCGAATAATCCGCTGACCACATGGTAGCTCGCCCTTGCTCTGAAGGTTCAAAGATGGACCTTTGCATATAACCCCATATAAACCCCAAATCATAACCCACTCCTTTTTTTTCTTCTATGTTTTTGGAAAATAAATACATCAAACCTCTTTCAGCTTTTGCCTCAAAGCAAACGGGGAGGAAGCCGCCATTGACAGCAACGGAGTATCTTCTTCACTCTCAGCGATATCAGTAGTGAAATATGGCATCACTCGAAACGAGTCAAAGAATAAGCAGGCAAGTTCTTTGTTTTTTGGTCTTTTAGGTTCTGAAAATCATGGAACATAGATAATAATATTGATATTTTTGGATGTGAATGAATATGCAGGCAAGCTCCGCAACTAGTTACGTTATTGAAGGAGATGAAAGCAGGATTGGATACAGTGAGCTTAAAAGTACAAGCTTTAACTGCAAAGGTCAGTTTTTTATTTTTTAATTCTATGATTGTTCATGGAAATAGTTGATTATTAAATATTGATACTCGGTAAATTAGAAGATTAACAATTTATATAGTTAGAATATTTTTTAAGGATATACGTTGTGTTTTTGGGATGTGGTGAAACCTTTCCCCATCAATTATCAGCGACAGAGTTACCCAATGCATGTGCTGGTGGAAAAAACTTGGTGCAGCACTGGAGGTGCCGGAAAGTTGGCCGGACACCATTATTAGCCACCCCACACAAAAAAGAAATCTATATTGGATACCAAATAGTCATGTTTAATTAGTTATTGCCAATAAATACTGGTACATTCTTTTAGCAAAAGGCAAGTTTTATTGATGAAACCAGCAGTAAATTGGTGTTGTAATCCAAAAAGTGCAGGGAACTAATAAAGTCTTCCAATGTCTCAACGTCATTTACTAGCTCTAAATTGCACCAAAAGATAATCTGTCGTAGACTATCAACTTTTATCTGCAAAATATGATTTCCGTTGTATTTGAAACACCTTCTTACTACTATCTTCTAAATCAACTGATACACTTTTATTTGGTTTAGTGCTTATCTAGATTCTTTATATTCTTGCTAAAGAGACATGTATATCATTTGTAAAAGTGTGAAATTAGAGATCTTTTAGTTAGTTTACCTTATTTATTATTTGATTTAAATGAACTTGAAGCATGGAATGGATGCAGAGGATTCATATAACCGACTATAACTAGCTTAGGATTAAGGCATAGTTGATTGATTGATCGATCACTTTCTTCTATCAATATCTTAACGTTTTTTCCTACTAACAAAATAAAGAAGAGAAACTTTAATATATATTTGCTACCCATAATCACCCCGGGCCGTCATTCCCATGCTGCTACCCATCGCCTCTACGAGGTTCAAGTTCTTAATTTGAGAAATTATGAGGTTACATTTTACCTTATGTGCAATCGAACATTGAAGAAATATTTAGTAAATGGTTTCATTTTGTAAAACATTTTTTAAAACAATAGTCTTTTGGGTGCCTGTAATCCAATATTCTCCTATTTAAGCAATTAAGTTTGAACTAATATGTTAGATTCTCCAACTATTTTGGTTTTCCACATGACAGATGTTAGGATCAATAATACATGATCTTCCCACTTAGTATCCAACTATCCATGTTGGGTTCATGTTACTTTTCATTGATAACTAATCATCCCAAATGGCCAGTATGAGAAAGTCCAAGTCTATGCTATATTGAAATACATGCTTGTCTTTAAAGGATATATATCAATGTATGTGTGACCCCCCCCCCCCCCCCCCCATGTTAGTAATCCATAAAATTAATGCCTTTAGCAGGGCACTCCTGTAACTCGGTCACAGAAAATAGTGAACTGATGGATTCATTTCAGTTGAATGTGCCTTGAATTTTTTACGTGTCATCTGTGTAGGAAAGAATGAAAATAGCACTATATCAACTTGACATGCCTGTTTCTTCTTCCAAATTCCCATGCAATTTGTCTGCAGGTGAAAGCGGATCACTTTCCAACAGCAGATGGAATAAGTTACCTTGAAACGAAGCATCTGCTACTTCTGAGTTATTGTCAATCACTTGTCTATTATTTGCTCCGCAAGGCAAGAGGACTCTCAATTGAAGGGCATCCAGTAGTTCGGAGTCTGGTGGAGATGAGATTGTTTTTGGAGAAGGCATGTTAAAGCTGTCTCTCCAGCTCCTCTTGGGTGATTTTCTGCCCTTAATTGCAGTATTCTTACTGTCATGCTCTGTGCAGATTCGCCCCATTGACAAGAAACTACAGTATCAAATTCAGAAGCTCACAAGAGATAGTGACACAGCTTCTGAGAAGTCAGTTATAAGTGAGAAGGGAACAGTTGCTCAGAAGGAGGACCTATTGAAGTATCGTCCAAAACCTGATATGCTTGTTCACAAAACAAGTAACACTGCAGAGGTTGGTGTTTGGTACAGGACAATGAAATGACCATTTTAGTTCCTTTCTCCTCCTGTTCATAAAGAGTTGGCTCGATCTTTAGCAATTTTAAAAGTTGAAGTTATGATTTAACTCACTCAGTCTCCCATATGATTTCTTGAAGTAAAGAGATAGTTGAATGTTTTTTGTCTTGACCTACAGGATGGTGCTAATGTATATCGACCCCCCAAATTTGCACCTGCTTCTATGGGCGAGGAGAAGATGTCGAAGCAGGAGAGAAATGAATTGAGGAGGGAAAAAGAGAGATTGCGAAATGCTAAACAAAGCCCGTATATGATAGATTTGTTGAATGATCTTGAAGGAAGACCCGAAGAGGTAGTTCTCTATCTGACTATTTATACTAACTTCACTGAGCCATCCTGTATTGACTATTGATCACGGTGAAAATTACAGGTAAGAGAAGTTGTTGGATCTGAAAGTAGAGAACTGACAAACTACATGGCTAAAATGAAAGAACGTGCAAAAAGAGAAGAAGAGGCGTTTGATCGTGCCCCACTTACAAAATTGGAGAAAAAGAAAATGAAACATCTGAAGAAGTCAAGAAATGGGTAAGTCCAGTAGGAACTGTGTGGTCGATCTTACTAACTATAAAAAGAGTCAATTGATGGTCAGTCTTTTGATCATTTCAGATATGAACTTAATCTATAGTTTGGAAAGTACTGGAAGATTAGGTGGAGCTCTGATTTCTTTTTTAAAATGGACTAATTGGAGGCTAATCTCCTTTCTTTGATTGTGCTAGGTTGCTTGGGCTGACAGATAGTTTTTATGATGAGATAAAAAGTTTGCCTTTAGGGGAACCTGTTTCTGAACAATCAGAAAACTTTGAGAATGGCGGCACTGGAATCAAACAACAGAAGAAGCGTAAGGTAATTGTTTAGGGAGATTGCATTACTCCTCGGTTTGTTTTCTTTCAAAATCTGAAGTGCGGTTCTGCTTTAGAGTATTATATATGGAATCTTGCATTAGCTATGATGTAGTAATTGTCCTAGACATATATAAATCTTGTGCATTCCCATTTAGGTGATAAGCGATCTAGTTCATGCATAAAATATTGATATTCTGGTATGGACACTTATTATCTTGTTTGTTACTCAGCTCAATGATTTAATTGGAAGGAAATTGTTGGCTTATGAGTTATGTGGTTATTTCCAATGCTTCACAACCCTCTGCTTCTTCCGAGTATAGCGTGTATAATGAACACAATCTTAGTCACAATTAGAATGAAGCTTATTTGTAGTAGTGGTTTATGTTTTGATCTATATCCCTTTGTACATGGACATGAGTTTTATTTTGTGTGGGGAAACTTGCTGAAAATAACTGTTAATATATGTGGTATTGCAGAGGAGGAATTGATACGACTGCTGGTGTGAGTACATCAATATCCATCAATTTAGAGGCTTTAAGGTTGGAATGGTTAGATGTTCCTTGGTCTCATGTAACATGTACAGCTTTGTCATGATATTGATTTTTGGGGATTTTGTCGCTCTAAAATCTTGCATCGTATTCATTATTGTTGTCAGCAGTGATGACTCAAGCCTAGATGGATTATTGAAAGTTACTTGCTGCAAGGCTGAAGTGCTATGGTGGCTGTGGTTTGGTTCACAAGTATTTTATTTCTTGAAAAGTACGGGTCAGTTGATAGGTAAAATGAAGCCTCTTATGGTAGTTGTATTATCATCTTCGCAAATCAAAAGGAAATTGTCCTTCATTCTAAACAATTCTTGTCGATAGGGTAACCAACTCTTTCTGGACGGTCTGAGCATATATTTTCAGGGTAGTACCAATTTTAGGCTTCAACTGTGGTGTAATTTGTTAATGATGTGGAAAACTCAGTTTAGTGATAGATGTCATGCCATGAATTTCTTTCGTTTACAAAAGTTGAGATTTAGCTCCATATTCAATACCTATGTTCTGTGCATTATCAAGGTCTGAATCATTTTCTTCCTGCGATTATTCTCAATGGTAATTTGAAGATACTAGTGTTTCCTGTGCACATACAATTACAGGTACTGTTTTGGTTTATCGAAAACATTACAAAATAAAAGAAAATCCAGTACTGCTTAAATTCAAGAACCAGTTTCCCAAAGTAAAGCATGAACGAATATCAATATGTCCAGATGGATGTTATTAAGGCTCTACATCTTTGGTCATAATCATTAATCATGTTAGCATTCGAAGATTTTAATGGCGATATGTAATCTGTATTCTTTCATAGAACAACTCAAACCTATAGACTAAACTTAACAAGACGCATCGTTTGGTAGGAGGTATTCCCTTGTTTGAAAGTGTTCACTTTCAAACAATGCATAATTAGTACATGTATTAGGCTATGCACTTTAGCTCCATATTTTTCATGTTTTAACTTGGTACGGAGTTTAAGAAAGATTAGAAAAGATTTTTGAATTTTGTGGTCTTAAAGTAAAATATATAAATGTACATATCAAATGTCTTTTAATTTTGTGGTCTTCAGCATGTTACATGAAAAATTAAAATTAAAGAGTTATCAGAAAAAGAAAGACACTTTTTAACGGATTAAAAAGAAAAATAAGACAAGTAAAATGAAATAGAGGGAGTAAATTTTTAAGCATCTTACATGAAAAATTAGAATTAAAGAGTTGTCAGAAAAAGAAAGACATTTTTTAACGGACTAAAAAGAAAAATAAGACAAGTAAAATGAAATAGAGGGAGTAAATTTTTACGCATAGTAAACCATGACATTAACAATGTGAGGTACTATTCTTATTCTAGTATACCCTATTAATTCAATACAACAAATTAAACATGATGAGAAATAAATTCAACATAACTAATTTCAGCATTACCAATGCATATCGTTGGATTATCCACGAATGAAGATAAGAGAATTGAGGATTCTTTTCTAGCATACATTAATTTGGTGTAAAGCCAAAACTTCCTGATTGGTATTATTCACACTCAAGTTAAATTGCTAAGTGAACTGTTCAATGTTTACTATGCAGGATGCAGATGTTTGCTTTACATAACTTGCTTCGTCTGGTGAAACATCCACTGAAAGAATAGAATAGAACTGTAATTACATAAACTTATTTCACTAATAAGCCTAAAGGCTTTTTCGCAATCAAAATATGACATGTAGAAGTTTTATTTCTGTATCTTCTGTCTACCAAAAGAATCGACCAACTGTTTTTGTGCATGCAAACCTCAGTAACATATACACCAAAATTTAATTTCTTTAACCCAACTAAGCCATGTCATAGCAAGCGCCCTTCGGTATTGTAAAATCCACTTGTTACGCTAAGACAGTCTCTTAACATTGCAAGTACCTTTGGCAATCGCGTTGCTCATCTATGATGACAGCCAGTGGAAGGATTAGTCAAGTTACCCTGATACTGTCAGATCCATTTAGCGGAAGGCCATACTGTATGACCAGGGCAGAATGGATCTTTGTAATGGAGATTATAGACTCTTCTGGACCCCATGCCTTTCTGAGATCATGACTAACATATATCCAGAATCTCCATAGAAGAACATCAGTTGCAATGACTCAAATGAGTCACAATTCTGTGTCTTTCTTCTGAGTCTGTGGAATGTTATACAGGATAAGACCAATGAGAAGGACAGCACTGCCGAGAAGGAAGAAAGGGCTCAAACTTGAACCTTGTGGGAGATATGGCAATGGCATGGAGAGAAGAAACATTGACAAAGGCACTACATAAGAAAAGAAGAAAAGAATCTGGTTGGTCATAGGACTACATAAAATTCAAATGTAATCGACACCTCTAAGCACTGTGTGCAGAGTGCCTGCAAGAGAGAACCTGATGACATCACAACAAGGGATGAGATTACAGCAGATGAAATCTTCATAAGATTGAGAGCTGATATGTTGAAAGCAATATTTGTAAATATGTAAAGAAGGGGTAGCATCGGTGCTCCATCACAACCTGACCAATAAAAGGTGCCATAAGGACAGTCAGACTCATCAATACATTACCTCAGGAAAAATACTTCTAACTTGATAATCATTTATTGACAAAAAAATAAAATAATCATGTCTTCACATCTATTATGGGAAAAGACAACTAAAATTTTGTTTGGATACTTAACTTCTGTGATGATTACATCTTAACTGTTGAAACTAATATTTGCTTGTGAAATGAACATTATACCAGCAGTATATTGCCCCATTTGAGAAATTGCCAGAAAATTGTGATTTCATTCTTGTTGAGATTTCCACTTATAAAGTACAGCTATGGACCAAATCCTAAGAGACACTTACTAATTGAGTTGCAACCAACAGTAAGTTTTTAAAACCAGTTTCTATGCTTGGTTTTTATTATTCCAGTACCCCAAGTTCTATGGACAGTTTAACACGTAAGTAGAGCAACCTACTTACAATTATTGAGTACATATATTCATACTATCCAAAATATCTCCACCCTTTTTTCCGATGGGCGCAAATATATCCTTGAAACCTCTATGTGAATGACTGAGGAAAGCAGGAGCATATTGTAACTTTTAATTTCCTGCCAAAATATTCTAGGTTTAAGTCTTTTCTCCCACCAGTTCCCCCCAAAAATAAAATCAAGGTTCTCATCAAACTCGACCTCAGCAGGATTGCAGAAGCCATATTTGGGAAGAAATGGGGAGCTTCTTATAATTGTGAATAAAAGATGCAGAATTTAAAAGAAAATATGTCAATTCTAGAAAATCATGACCTTCACCAACTCATTTTACAAATGCTGAAATGATGCACATTGACCTTTTATGCAAGCCACACACAAGTCCAAGAGAATAGAGATTGCACCTGAAACATTGTTCCCTATGTTGAAGAAGCAACCAGCACCGCTCTTAAGAAATGAAGGGAGCTCAGAAAATGGTATGCCCTTCAAGTTCGAAAGAAAAGGCAGAAAAAGGAGAACAAACAGAGCCTACAAATAAAACAGACATTACAGATGCAACATTCAGAATACAGTGTTGCTGAACGGTAAACAGGTCAACTCACTCTCTGAAAATGCAATTCCCTATTTTTTTATATACTCCCTTCTGTTTCAATTTGTTTGTTCTAATTGTACTTTCCTTTCCTTTTTTGGTCTGTTCCAAAAAGAATGTCTCTTTTCTAATTTGACAACTTCTTAATTTCAACATTCCACTTGACATGTTTAAGACCATAAAATTAAAAGGTATTTTGGTAAATTATACATATTTGAAGTTTAAGACCACAAAATTCAAAAGTTTCTTTACTTTCTTAAATTTCATGTCAAGTCAAAACTAAGACAAACAAATTGAAACGGAGGGAATATACACACACATGTAATATAAATGTATATAAATAGCAATTCTCGACTAAACATCCATTGTCTATAGTGTGCAAGGTCGTTCCAACAAACTACAATTAATTCTGCAATAACACCTCAGCAACAACATGAACTGCAAATAGAAGAGCATATAGGGTTTGAGTGGCTTGCAAATCCATGAAAAACATATCGGGACCAATCAAAATAAAAAGAGATTTTGCATATTGTACTGCAATATTTTGAACATTTCCTCTCTCTATCAGAAATTGTCGGACATGAGCTCTGCGTAGCTGCAAATGAAACTTCAGTGAGAGCTAGATTTCATGACAGTATTTTTTATCTTCCACTTGACGGGTGGGACTAAATAAATGGTGCTGAGTCTGACTACTTTTTAGTCGATATAAAAGTCAGCAGTTGGTATTTAATTCCACTCGACTCACGGAATCGAATAAATTGTGCCAAATGTGAATACAACTATTTTAACAGAAGAACCAGTAATTGACATTTGACTAAGGCTAATTAACTCAGTACTATGTAAGCATTCAACTCTAAAATAACCCCGAAGAACAGAGTTTTAGGATCCAAAAGTTAGTGTACCAAAATTTCTTGTGCTCATTCCAATTACCTGGAATCCAGATCCAAAAGAATTGACGACAAAGATATCAAGCACCTTCCCCTGTATAAATTGAATATCTATCAGGACTATGCATTACACATTACCAACAGAATTGAAAAGAGATTGATGGAGTATCTTTCATGCACCCCATATTCAAAGCTAAGCACACAAAAAGCTCTGTAAATGAGAGATGTACCTTGAGTCGGCGAGCAGCATCAATAAAAACGAACTCCTACACATTCAAAGCCCTTAAAATGATTAATTAAGGATCCAGACTGCTATTGGTACATCGTGATTTATTGAATACCTTAATAATTGATGCACCGGCTTGGAATGCGCTCGAAGCTACCATCAATACTGGCCATACAAATGCAATTCCTGCCAGCATTTGGTTGGAGTCTGATCCACTGCATTCCACAATCACAAGAGCTAAGGTAAGTAAAAGCAGAATAACAGTTAAAAAATTTATGAGCTGTTTGATCATACAGAACCAACTTCCTAACCCTATCTATGACAGTTTATCTGCCAAAAGGACCAGCCACAGGAAGTAGCTAAATGACGGAAAAAAAAGAACAAGAAATATATTATAAGCTCTGCATGTTTCCAACCAGCTTTGTCAATAGAAGTAAAATATTGTAGGTTCCCTTGTAGCTTCATGAATAAGATTGGAGTGCTCCTTTTTGTGCTAACAAGTCAGAGGCACTCTCAGGTAGATGATTCATTCAGGTGGCCCTATCACAAGGAATGAGTTTAGGATACAAAACCTATCAGAGTATACAATAAAAGAATGTGATAAAATAGTAATTTCACCGAGTCAGCGGTGGGGGGTGGGGGAGATTGCAGTTCAATAGACCTGTAATTCAGTTATTGATCTTGGAGGGGTGAAAAGTTGGAGAGGATTTTGGCAGCTAGTGAATTGGAAAAGCCTCAGTTACACACCTGAAGTACCAGTGTGGTGCATACCAAGGCTCATAGCGTGGAATTTAGGATATTATACAATTAATAGAAACATAGGCACCTATGCACCGACATGCAACAACAAGAACAACATCATACCCACTGTGATCCCACAAATGGGGTCTAGGGAGGAGTGGGTGTACGCAGACGTTACCCCTACCTTTGTTGGGGTAGAGAACTAAGCACTAACATGATGTAATTAAAAAGAAGTAGAACCAGTTTTACTGTAAACAATAAGTAGAGCAAGGGAGGTGGTCCTCTGGCACTCAGATGGACCACATGGGAGGAAAGAAACCGTACAACATTTAAAATGGGGTTGAAAGCACTTCGCTACATACTAGCGGAATTTTGTTTTATTTGTATTTTTGCAGATTCTTGGAACTCGTGTGACATTTCTCTTAGTATTGATTTTTGAGATTTTTTTCTTTTTTTGAGAAAGCATTTCTATTAGTATTGATTATTGGCTACTCTTTCTAGGAACTGATATTTTTTGCTTGAGATGTTCTCTTTTTTAATACACCTTGTGGGTGGGGTCTTCCCATCAATGTCAATATAACTTAGGATAACTATCTTCTTTGACACCAGACCAAAATATTTGACCACTTCATCTAAAAGCTTGAATTGTTAAATAAGGGACGTTTCAAGTTTTCAACAAACCTCCTCATGTGCAGATCCGATTCTTTTTTCTTTGGGTCAAACACGTGAAAATATTTTGTTGATAGGTAATAATGAGACTTGAACTAGACATTTGCCTACTCTAATACCACGTGGAGTATATAACGGATAACCACCATATTAAAGATAAATTTGTGAGAGTGGACAATTTCATTATTTATCTTAGGTCTTCAACAAAATCCTAATTTGACTTACAATCTAAGAAGAAAAACATTTTTTAGGATCCTGAAGGAGAAGAGTGTGTGACCTTGTTACAGCTAGTACCACTCCAGCAGCAACCAATAAACATCCGGCAATTTGATTCAAAGAGTATGTTCGTCCAAGAATGAACACAGAGAGAGTCAACTGCCATACCAAGAAGGTCTGCAATAGAAAGGCCTTTGCTAAGAAATCTTGTTTTGCTTCTTTTATACATGAGCGAGAACTTTATTAAGCAATCTCGAGGATACAATTATAACTCTTCTTGTTTGAAGTTGGTTAGGACATGAATATTCAGCAATTTATACAGGCTACTCCCAATTCATGCTTCAATTATCAAGAAATAAGAGAGCTGTCAGTAAGGCTACAAAAAATGCAACTAAAAAAATGAGTAAACTACTACTGACACAGTGCCGACAGAATCCTAGGACTCCAAAATCACTTTGCTGATTCCATTTCCAGTTTCTTAAACTGATAATATAGACACTTCCACACAGACCGTATTTCCGTAAAATATAAGAAATCCTATTTATTCTCTCCCCTCCTGTTTCATTTTATAAAAATAAATCTTTTGGGAGGGGTGGTGGGACTGCAAAGTGCATTTATGTGATGCAAGTTACAGGGAAATAAAGAAAAAGATTTCAAAGTACTGGGTCATCTTATGGGTAATATAAAACTTTTCAGTTTCCCAAGACAATAGCTTGCTCCATTGAACAATGAATGCTGATAAATGACTCGATAACTCATCTGGAAACTATCACGCATTAACAGTTTCTTACTGTGAGAAATATAGGAAAAGAATATTATTGAATTGTTGTTGTGTCTACATTATTACATTGAGACCCTATTTATAGAGCCTAGAATACAATCATTTACCAAGTAGGATACTATTTAGTATTCCTATTTCTATTTCTATTCCTATTCCTATTCTAATAGGATTATATAAACCTATTCCTATTCTTATAGGATTGTATAAACCTATTCCTATTCTAATAGGATTGTATAAACCTATTCATATTCTAACACTCCCCCTCAAGCTAGTGCATACAATTCATGTACCTAGCTTGTTACAAATGTAATTAACACGCGGACCGATGAGGGGCTTGGTGAGATGCAAGTTGATCACTCGACTTCACAAAATTGACAATCAATCTCAATGTGCTTGGTCTTCTCATGAAATACTGAATTTGATGCATAATGCTGATAAAATACAGAGTGATAAAATTACAGTGTTGGAACTTCCCAAACCAAGCTTGCAAAGACTGTTTCAGACCATAGAGTGACTTACGTAATCAACATACAAGGCTACTAAACTCCCCCTGAGCAACAACATTAGGTGGTTGCTCCATATAGATTTCTTCACAATGCAGCGAACATTGTAAGTGCTCAAAATCTAGTATAAAGTACATGGTTTATGTTGGAATCAATAGACAGTCGATATTAAACAAGTCACCGAAAAAACTGGCCAGAACATGCTCATATGCCGGAGTATTAGATTTGATGGCTAAAAGTGGTCACAATCTAAGAAATAAAATTATATGGGTAGGGTCGGAATGATGTCACAACCCAACTAGAAAATAGAAATAATATAGGATAGTTCGAATTGATGGAACGACCCTATTGAAAAAGAGAAATAATATGGGTAGGGTTGGAATGATGGCACAACCCTACGCAAATCAGATTTGAGGAGTCACCGGAAAGACGAGTGGAACTATGCAAATCAAATCTGAGAAGTCACTGAAAAGACACATGATGCTATGCAACTCAGATATGACAAAATAGTTCGGAAAAATCCACAGTACTACACAAATTAAATATGAAAAGTAGTCCGGAGAGATGCACGGTGCTACGCAAATCAGATATGCAAAAAAAAAGGTAGTCACCGGAAGGATGTCACGGTGCTACACAAATTATATATGAAAAAGTAGTCACTGGAATGATGGCACAGTGCTACACAAAAAAGTAGACACCAGAATGATGGCACGGTGCTACAAAAATTAAATATGAAAAAAAGTAGTCACCGGAATGATGGCACGGTGCTACACAAATTAGATATAAGAAAGTAGTCACCGGAATGATGGCACGGTGCTACACAAATTAGATGTGAGAAAATAGTCACCAGATAGATACACGGTGACCCAACTTTTGCTAACATAATCATTGGCCAGACGGGCAGCATATATGGGTGCCACCCGCCGGCAGCGGAAGCTCTTTAATTCTCTACCAAGTTCGTAGAGGCTCTGATACCATGTGAAAAATATAGGAAAAGAATATTATTGAATTGTTGTTGTGTCTACATTATTACATTGAGACCCTATTTATAGAGCCTAGAATACAATCCTTTACCAAGTAGGATACTATTTAGTATTCCTATTTCTATTTCTATTCCTATTCCTATTCTAATAGGATTGTATAAACCTATTCCTATTCTTATAGGATTGTATAAACCTATTCCTATTCTAATAGGATTGTATAAACCTATTCATATTCTAACACTTACCTCTAAAAGATTGCTCCCAAATACGTGACCCATATAGATAGACCAACAACAACAATAACATACCCAGTGTGATCCCACAAGTAGGGTCTTGGGAGGGTGGTGTGTATGCAAGCTTAAGCCTATCTTGAGAAGGTAGAAATGTTGTTTCTAATAGACCTTCGGCTCTAGTAAAGCACATCAAAAATCAAGTATGCAAAGTTAATCCAGTAGCGAAAAAATCATATGGAAAACAATAGAGAAGAGATCAGTAACAACAACAAATAATATGATAACCGAAACCAAGGAGACAATAGAGTCGAAGAATAAATAAAAGGAGAGTAATAAAAGCAACATTGATAAGAAAACTAGGCAATGCTTGACTATATACTAACCCTTTATCATAATCCTCGACATCCAAATCTTCTTATCAAGAGTCTTGTCCTCAATAAGCTATAGGTGTACCATGTCACGCCTAATCACCTCTCCCTAATACTTCTTCAACTTACTTATACCTCTCCTACTACCCACTATAGCCAACCTCTTCACTGAGTGTGTGTGCATCTTCTCTCACATGCCTAAACCATCTTATCCACCACAGAGCTCACTCCCACCTTGTCCCAGATATCTTCGTTCATAATCCTATCTCTCCTAGTATGCTCACACATCCATCTCAACATACTCATTTTCTCTACTTGCATCTTTTGGACGTGCGACTTCTTGACCGACCAACACAGCATCCACATCTGCCATGTGAGTGATGGTACTTAACTTTCTCTCCAAATTTTTGTCTTAGTCCTGCTCAACCTGAACCCTATAGACTCCAGGGTTCGTCCGCAAACCTCCTCCCTACTTTGTTGTGTCTCATCAATCTCATATTAATAGACCATTATGTTAATATAAATTATAACTTCTCCTTTTGCTTCAGGAAATTCTATTTTAATGTATACCACTAAGAGGTGTAGTTAATTAATTAATTGATACGGTGCATATGAAATGTTGAGCTCATATTCCATCTAGAATTCTGGTATTTTTCGATAAAAGCTCTTGAAGTGAAGAGCGTAATACATATTCAATACAACATAAAATGTTACATTCAAGTCAAATGCTAATTATCACCTTTCTATGTGTTTAATTTGAATCACCAAGACTGCATTCAATTCATCAAAAACTACTGCCATGGAGTATTGAATTCCAATAGCACTTTGTAGATACTAAAGGAAAAGCAAGGATGCATTGAATGCTACTCCACCAGAAAAGGGCATCCCATTTTCTATGCTCTTGGAGATCTACCGCCAAGGCAAAGATAACTTGAGAACTATTTCATGCTCCTTTTTTTGGCGATAAAGGGGAATTCTTAATGTTATTAGTGTTACCTGACTAAGTATTGGTATGGCTGGTCCAGGAAGCATGGCTGTAAAATACCAAAATAAAGCAATCAGAAATTAATTTACAACTCAAAGAATCATCCATACTCATTTCTCTGTGGAACTTACTATTGTTTTCCAGGTTTATCATAAAACAGCAAATAGCTGAGAAAAGACTAATATTTGTTGAAAGACGAGATGTAGAGTAAGCAGTAGAATATAAGGATCTAAACTAAATGTCTTTTCCCAACGCAGGCAGAAATATTAATCTAGAGATGGAGAGGAAACATTCAATTTACTATCGTAGAACTTCCCTAAGTACAAGGTAATACCTCCAGCATACATTCCACATATGACCCCAAGGGCTTCGAGGAAACCAATGAGCAAAAAACGTGATTTTGGATAGGCCACCATCTCCTTTGTTACAATACCAGCACGATATCTCGCATACAATATGGATAAATAAATAGCCAAGTACCTGAAGTTAATTGAACCACGTTAAATATCAGCCTCTACATAGTAAAACAAATATAGATTAACTAGGATCAAAAACCTTAAATTAGATAATGGCATTTCCTACTAAAAGTCAAAGTCACGGACATGTTTTACCACAACCTGCTTTGACCAGCATATTTGAGTTTTTCATTTAGATTGGCATCTCAGATAGTCATTGACTTGAGTGTAGGCAAATGCTGACCCCTAAGACTAAAAAATTCACTTGTCACTTACTTTCCTACGCATTTAAGGTAGGTCAAAGCATGTTGATAATTTACATTCTTTTACTAAGTAACAATAGTAAATGATTTATATTTAACAAGCTAGGATTTACGACAAGATGGTGTAGAGCTATGTAATGCACTTGTGTAACTGCTAGGGGAGTTGGTCTCAAGCAATCAATGATCCAGAGGGATGAAAACTATTCTTCAATCGGCATACCTTATGTGACTCCCCTTTACAGTAGTTATTCAACATTCCACTCCCAGCATCTTCAATGCAAGAGAAATTTACTAGGAAAGATGTCCAGTTAAAATTTTGGGCTTCGTAAATACGAAAGGTGATCAATTGCAAAATCAAATGGGTCAAGAATATTGTGTCACTACTCACAAGCTAAGGTTGGAACTGGATTTTACATACAGAAGACAATAAACTTATTGGATGTCATCTCATCCTCATCCTCATCCTCCTTTGGTTATAAACAGATTTTTCAAAGTGAAACTTCAGGACTGAGGATGTTAGCGTCACTCCCTTCTTTCCAATTAATATGATACTCTTCTCAATTTGAAAAGTTCCCAAATGTTTGTCATGTTTCCACTCCTATGCAACTGTCACAGCTTTCAGGAATTCAAAAATTCATTAATCCAATCAAATTTTCAATTTTAATGTGATGCTTACTTTATAAACCTATTCATCAACAATTACTTTAATGGTTTTCTTCTGCTAGCACTGATATAATATATACAAATCAAATTAACCTCTTAACTCCGCATCCACTCAATTATCTTCCTATAAATAGTAACAAACATGGTATTTTTCACTGTCCTTAAGGGACACCCTAAATATGTTATTTTCATAGTTGAGGGGAGCTGATTATGGAAGAATCTGCAAGGTCATTAACGGACAGCATATTGCAGTAATTGCAAACTTATGTGTTATGTTTTTTACTAGCTACCACGGCCAACTATGCTGCAGTTATTATGAGCTTTCCACATTCAAACGACTTTTATCTACCATGCAGTGGCGGAGCTAGGATTTTTAATAAGGGGGTTTAATATCTGAAGAACTAAACACACGAACTAATCGAAGGGGGTTCAACATCTATTATATATACATAAAAAATAATTTTAACAAAATTTTCCGCCAAAGGGGATTCGGATGAACCCCTAACAGAAGGCTGGCTCCACCCCTGCACCATGTAATTGCAATTCATTCAACCTAAGGTAACTAGGAAACTAGCATACATCTCTGAAACAGCTAAAAACAAGTTATATGGAGTTCTATGCTCACAACAGGCAGACAGGAGAGTCAGACAACCAAATTCTCTGCATTTTCTTCACAATACTCGCCACTCACATTCAAGTCTGGGCTAACAGTTATTTCTATGCGAGTGTTTAATAAACTCTAAAAGAATCAGGTACAAAGTATAAGAGTCACGAGTAATTATCATTACAAATTCAGAAGATTAAAAAGTACGACTATATATCGTGATTTTTTTATCGTTAAAAATATTTATAAGAGTGAAAAAATCACAGTCGAAGGAAAACAAAAACAATCATACTCTTCAAATAGTAGCGTCACTCTTTTTGAAATGGAGAATTTATTAAATTAGCTACCTAAAACAACTTTCAGCTTCGAAGTACAAAAAATTCAAATCAAACAGGTAAACATCTGTGATCTGTGATCGGGGATCATACAATAATTGAAAGAGAAACACCAAAACTCACCCAAAAGTAGTAACCTGAGCTAGAAAAAACGGGTACTCCTTCATCGGAACAAGCGCAAGTTTGTAAAGCACCCGATTCCCAACACCAAGCACCAAAGTCAAAGCAGAGTTCAGAACGATTAGCTCTCTAGTCACATCCAATTGGCGGCCAGAATCACTTCCCACAGCACGTGCGCGGAATTTTGAGCTCGAATTCGAAGTCTGCCGAGTAAACGAGGTACTCCGGCGGTGGATTTCCAGACGCCGTGAAGATGTGAGAAGAGGCATCATCGGAGAAATACGACTTGGAAAAGAAGGCAATGAGAAGAGAGATTTAGGGTTTGGTCCATTGAAGGCACGAGGAAGAGATTGTGTAGGTAATTTGGCGCGAATGGTTTGAGAAGATAGAGAGTGAGACTCCATGAAATTGATCTTTCTGGTTAGGTGAATGAGGAAAGCTCACTGATACGAACTACTCATATAAAGTGAAAATTCAAACCTTCTATTGGGTCTCATTAAAAATAAAAAAAGGTGAAACTTTGTTTAGATTGCAAATGAATATTTAGAAAGAAAATAATAATATATGGACAACCTCAAAAATTTACATAGAAATTTCATAATTGAATATCTAAACATATAATAAAGTATTTCTATTAAACATTTTCAGTTTAAATTAAAAAAAAAACTTATTACTTAAAAATTCCTTATATAAATAAGTTAATCAAAAATCTATATGATCTTCTTTAATTATACACGTTATATTAAATTAGAATATATTTAATAATTTAAATTTTATGATTTGTTGAGATTAGTCATATACTCAATTAAAGGAGGAGATATATATTATGTAATTAATTCTTCTACATAATAATTAAGTAAGAACACATGAAAAAAGTTTCACAAGTTAAATTGGAAAGTGATCAGTACAAATATTATTATATATTATGTTCGATTGAAATAAATAGCGATTCAAATATTGGATGAAGTGGCTAATACTCAAAATGTTTGCACTAAAATTCTAGCTCTCATAATGTATTCTTTGTATGTCGCTTGGAATTATTGTTTATTTTTTTATTGTATTTCAATATAAAATTTGAGATTTATGTTTAATACAAATAATAACGTTCGTCTTTGATTATCTTTTTCAAGCTACAACACAGTATTTTAAGGATAAGTTTGGTTTTATCAATTATTTACTTTATTTTAAATTTTATTTTTTAGTCATGAACTTTTTATATTTTATTTGAAGTAGAGAATTTTTAAAGCATATTTGTTATCATAGTTTTTTTTTTTTTATATCAATGATAAGAAGAGAGAGAGGAGAAAAAAAGAGAGAAATGGGTCAAAAGAAAATGTCATTTTAGAGAGATAGTAATTCCATATTTTATGAACCCTTGTATAATGAACTTAGAGCTAACGTAGATTAGCTCAAAAACCTACTAATTTAAGTAAGTATCTAATGTGTTCTTCGATAGAGAAGTCATTTCTAAAGGAGAAACAATGTGTTTTTGGAATCTACGTGTTTCGTGGTTAAAGTCTTTGAAGAGTTTAAATGAGTTAGACTTGAGTAGATCGAAAAAAAAAACAAAAAATCTTGACAAAAAACATTTTGCAGATATATAACTCAAACTCCTTTAGATTCTTTAAATTTTATCGGTGGTGTAAGTATTAAGATCAATACAATTAATTACATCTCTAGTATAAGCTGATTAGCTACATTTTATTTTGTTTTAAAATTCTTCTTATTCTTTGTAAGTTATTTTATGACACAAAAAAAGAATCGTCCATCTGCAATAAAATTAGAAAAAGAAATTAATAGTGATTCCATCAATCGATGTAAATAGCCAACAACTAATAGCTACAAATTTTTTTATGATAAAATCTCTCAACGACAACTTTTTTTCCATGCGTATTTCATTTAATATATAAAATTCATATGCGAATAAATATTGTAAATTCACTTGTCGAGTGCTGAACATCATTACGTGCAACAATAATCAAGAAAATCGATCTTTGCAATAATATTTAAAAATTATAAAATGTAGTAATATGCACTAGCTCGTATATGGATTCAATTTATGACATTAATAGATTATATATTTAATCCAAATATTCCTTACATAAATTATAATTAAACACAATTTCAACTTCAAAATTTCAATAAAATTAAAAATAGTTGAATTTTATGTTTAAGTGCTTATTTGTTAGCTACCGTTTTGACCAAAAAATTTTGAATAAAATTTTAAAGATTCGACTTCAAAAATTTGTTTGACCATAAAATTTGACCAGATTTTAAAAATCTAACCTTTAAATAATTTCAAGATCTTAAGAACTATCTCAGACCATTTTTAAGTTCTTAGGACTTTCACTCACAGAACTTTAAAATCTAAAATCACAATCATAAACTCAAACTTTCAAGTATCAAGTTTCAACAATAAAATTTATGGCCAAAGGGGAGCTTAATTTGGATGGCAGGTTTGGTAAGAATTTTTTTTTATTTTGAAATTCTTTCTAGAAATTTTTTTTGTTCTTAAGGAGTATATGTTTCAATGACCGAGAAGAAAAAATATTTTTCACCCATTTATAATAGAAAATCTAATTAGCGGAGTGATAAGCTGTGTGTAGGGATGAGTTGGGCCAATTCGAAATTTAAATTTTTTGAATTAAATTAGGAATTGAATTTTGAAATTTAACTTTTAAATTTTATGGATTTTGATCGAATATTGAATCTAATACCATGGATAGTAGGATTTCTGAAGATACAAAATTCCATGTCTTATTTTTCGCTTTATCCATATCATTTGTGCTAAATGCTAGCAATAAGTTTATTTTTTTTAAAATCCAATAAATTAGTATCCTATAGTTGTACTTGTTATAGTATAAGTTTAATAATATAAAACTATATGATATGAGTGGTATAGTGATCTCAATCCTTTTGTAGAAAGTTATATCTCATAAAAAAAAAAACTATTCTCTTTGTTCTGTATTAAGTGAATTTTTGAGAATTTTCTATTGCTCAAAATAATTGAATTGTTTAAAGTTCAAGATAAATGTTTGAATTTTTTTCTATATTTGTCCTTCCCTTTAATGAAGTTTTATATTTTTTACGAGATAAATTGCACCATTTACAAAGTTTTATTTATGATTCACAAAAAAAACAATAGTGAAAAATGTGGTTTAAATTATGTCCTTAAATATTTTTCTTAATAGGTGTGCATTGCTTCACAATACAATACAATATAATATGATACATTATGAAACAATATGTAATAACTATCAAAATAAAGTGTTAATATGGAATAGAAGGAGTATTAGATTAACTAGACCATTAATTTTTATGATTGATCTTAAAGGCTCAAAAATCAAAATTTCAAAATACCACAGTAACCACACCAATTCATCCAAAATTGAATCCTATCCAATTCAAGATTATTTTAATGGTAGTTTTTTTCAATTTGAAAACCAAATATTCAAATCAAATTTTCAAATGAATCCGAACAATTCATACGCTCGACTTCCAATAATAAATACTCCTTTTACTTTTAGCTAAATTTTTTGAATTTGAGCCTACATATAAAATAACTAGTTTTTAAAGAGCTGAGACACAAGGCAAAAACTATTAATATTATTATTATTATTTAAATCAAATTTGCTAATATTTAATTATAATATTATTTTAAACTTTTTTTTACTTTACCACCAAAATCATAAAAAATAATTATAATTAGTATTTCAATTTGCATAAATTCAAGACTCTTCCATTAAAATCTCTCTTCATACTCTCACTTTTCTCGAAACCCAACTTCTTCTTTTTTGATCATCATCTCTGCTTCAACAATTGGCATTATTTTGTGGTGAGAATTCTATCAATTTACTCTGTTAAAGAGAGAAGAATCGAAATTTTTAATTATTAAAGCCCTTTTTTGAAAGAATTTGTTTGATCTATTTTATTCAAAGTAGAGTAGAAATTACTCGTTTGAAAATTATATGATTCTTGAATGATACTTGTGGAGAAGATAGTGATGTCAAAAGGGTTACTTGATTGAAAGTAGAAAATTAAGTTTTAGGGTGTTTCTGAAGTTAATTTGTTTGGTCAAAAGATTCAATTTTTCTTCTTAATTTGTGCAGCCATGGATGAGCAATTTATTCTGAGGGTTCCACCTTCTGTTGCTGAGCGAATTAACCGCCTTTTAAGTGAAAATCCTTCTTCAGAAGACAAACTGGACTTGTCTTTTTTTGGTAACTTTTTTTTTTCTTTTGGAGTTCTAAGTATTGTTATGCAAGAGCTTATAATTAAGTTAATGGTCAAGAATACATTGAACTGTCATGTTTTTGTGAGTTTTATACCTGAACAATCATGTGTTCATTGTTCCCTTTTATTACTTGAAATATGACCATTGTTAAGGTAGGAAATGGAAAAAATTAATAGTTGAGGTGTGTTTTGGTAATCAGTTGGTGATGGTTTAGGTAGGAAAAGTGAATATCGGACAGTTCAGGTAGAAAACTCGCAAAAACGTGATATTTCAAGTGTGTTTTTTGCCATTATCTTTATAATTTTTGACACAATTATTTGACATGTTGGCATTTACTCTTTTAGATTTAAATTAGTCCAACTTCACACCAACATTCCTTTTATGTTGTTTCACATCTATAATACTCTTGCATCACCTATCAAAAAAGGAAACCATAGTCCTTCCATATTTCGCTTTCCATGTGTTTGTATTGTCATTCCTTGAACCTTTTATTATTATTTTTGTGATAATTGTGGTGTCCGAACCAACCTGTGTACACTTCAACTAAACTTGCTACCTCGCAAGTAATAGGTAAATCTTTCCACCAAAATTTGGACAAATAGAAAGAAATCATTAGTGTTTTTGCCTGTTGATCCTCGGACCTCATGATTCACAACCCACTTTATTGATGACTAAGCCACCTCCATGAGGGCTGAACCTTTTTACTCCCCCCGACTAGCTCTTCCGATTCCCTATACTGCTTCTAATTTAGAGAACCTTTGGGTTTAGAGAATCTGTGATTCGTCTTAAAAAGGTCAAGTATTTAGTACTGGAATGAAATTTACTTGAATAGAGGGGAAAATACATAGAAGATTCATCCGACTCTAATTGATTTGGGATTGAGATGTAAATGATTAATTATAGACGGAATGGTTTTCCAAACAACTTTTATTCTCTGAGGTTATCTGGAATACCCATAAGAAGTTCCAAAATATTGGGGGTGTGAAGTTGTCAATAGAGCATAGTTTATTCTACTGTCGTTTTGATTGAATTTGTAAGTTAATAGCCTTTGGTGTCCACAAGTTACATGGCCTCATCTGATATCTAAGGCATGATTTTTTTCCCCATTGTGCCCCACCATACCTAGGTTCTTTTTTCATATGCTAATAAGTGAAAACATTGTGGTCTGAGACTCTGAGTTATTGATATTAAGCACAATTGATGTGCGTGTGTGGAA